TACCAAATTCCCTTTGCTTAGGGGTTTTGTAGGTACAAAAGCACATCCAAAAATAATTGTCACTTTAAATAATAGCTACTATCTATTGAATGCTTGGGCACTGTGCTAAGTACTCCACAAACTTTATCTCCTGCCAAGTATGTTTTAAGGCACTATGTTAAAGATTACTTATGGGGCTCAAGGAGAGAGATTAAGTTCAGTTTAGAAAGTGATAAAGTTTTGAAGTCAGATCACTTGGGTTTGAATTGATGCTCACTATTTCCTAGTTCACTAGTTCTGAGATGGTGGGCTAACAAATTAACATGCATTTATTCATCCAACAAACAAACATTTTGAGAATCTAGCATGCGGTCAATATACTGGGCATATGCTGGCGAATAAGCCAGGCACAGCTGCTGGGGATCAGGAGCAGTTATCTGCAGGGGAAATCAGATGCTCAAGTGCTTAACAAATTGTAACAAATGTGGCTGTAAAAGTTTGGATCCTAAATGCCCCCCTTGGAAGCTTGGACTCTACTTGACGGTGCTATTGGGAGGTGTGGAACTTCTATGGGGTGGAGTCTAATTAAGGGAAATTAGGTCCTTGAGGGCATTCCATTAAAGATTATTGGGATCCCAGCTTCTTCCTCTCTTTCTGTTTCATGAGGTGCACAGCTTTGTTTCAACACCTGCTCCCACCATGATGGACTGTGCTACATCAGACCCAAAGCAGCAAGGCCAAACAATTGTGGATTGAAGCCTCTGAAAGCCATGAGCCAAAATAAACCTTTCCTCCTTTCAGGTTGACTTTCTCAGGTATTTTGTCACAAGGATGGCAGTCTGACTCACACTATAGTAAAGGATGGGGACAGGGACCATGATCGAAACTGACAGCCAGAGGAAGCAGAAGACTCAACCTCGATGGTTGACTTGTCTTTCAAGAGGTGACAAATAATCCCAGGGCTGAAGCAGGAGTAGGAGTTAGGAAAAGCAGGGATATCAGAAGGAGTGAGAAGAGAAATGTACAGAAAGGTCACACAACAGCTTGTGTGAAGGTCCTGGTCGAGAGTGGGTTTGGTATTCTGAGGACTGAAGGGGCCAGTGTGGCTAGAATTTAGAACAGTGGAGGAATGGTAATCCAGAGTTAATGGAGTGGCAGAACTGCTCCAACAGTCATCTCAAGCATTTGGGATTTAGTGTCTAAGATGGTCCTGATGCTGCTATCTGCAGACTTTTTGGAAAGTGCTAGGGAAAAGGCCCAGTTGAAAGGTTGTAGAGAAGGCTGTGCTAGGGATGCATTTGAAGAGGTGTGGATTTCAATGTAAATGCAAGATATTGCACTTACAGTTGAGTGTGGCTTGGCGGATGAAACAGGGAGCGTCTAGGGATGACTCCTAGGTTTTGAGTTTGAGCATTTAACTGGATAATGGAACCATTGATTGAAATGGGAAGGCTAACAGGAAAGAACAATTTGAGATATGTTATGATGTTTAATGTTAATGATTTCAAATTCATTGTCAGATACCCTGGCTCTTAGAGGTAAGACCAGCACCTGCGTATGAATCAGGTCACTGTCAGTGTAGGAATGATATTCATCAATTTGGTCTTTTTGCATGTTTGTGACTGTCTCTCTGTGACCTAGGTGGTATGGGACTCAAGGTTTTCCTGCCTCAGCTCCTCCTGAGTGCTGAGATTGCAGGCACGCACCACCTTGCCCAGCATACGGATGGTATTTATCCAGGAAAATGGATAAGAACGTTGAGGGAGAACATACTGGAATAAGAGCCTGGGCCCTAGCTTTGAGCCTGTGGAATTCCCAGAGAGCACACAAGGGGGTGAGGAGCTGGCCAAGACAAAACAGGGTGCTAGAAGTACCTCTCTAGTAGTGTTGGTGAGATTAAATAAACTAACACATTATTTTTCCTTTACCCTCACCCATCCTCCTACCTAAACCCCTCTAATATATTTTTTGCATGCTTACTACATCTCCACACTTCATTCTTCTCTCTCTCTCTCTCTCTCTCTCTCTCTCTCTCTCTCTCTCTCGTGGTATATGCACATGTGTGCAGGTGCTCATGCATTCGGAGGCCAAAGAAGGATGTCAGGTGTTCTGCTTTATCAGGTTCCTCCTCATTCCTTTGAGACAGGGTCTTTGATGAATGTGGAGTCAGGCTGGTGGCCAGCAAGCTTCAGCAACCCTCCATTCTCCACCTCCACAGTGCTGGGGTTATAGGCACACACATGTAGCTACACTCAGATTTTTTAAAGATATATTTTATTATTTTTATTTTATGTGTATGAGTGTATTGCCTGCATGTATGTGAGTGCACCCGTGACGTGCAGTGCCGCAGAGGTCAGAAGAGGGTTTCTGATTCCCCTGGAACTGTAATTAAAGACAGTTCATAGCCATCATGTGGGTGCTGGGAATTGAACCCAGGTCCTCTACAAGAGCAGTCAGTGCTCTTAACCACTGAGACATCTCTCCAGCCCCTACGCTCAGATTTTTATGTGGGAGTTGAGATCTGAACTCAGATCTTTGTCTTCGGGCAGCAAGTGCTATTTCCAAACGAGCCATCTCTCCATTATACTTTCTGCAACAAGGTGCTATCTGGTTGGTGGGTATTATGAAGATGAATAAGACACAGATCTTAGACAAAGGAGCTCAGTACATATTAAAGGATATATATATATATATATATACACTCACTGGGTGTGGTGTCACACTCATTTAAACCCAGCACTCAGGAGGCAGAAGCAGAAGCAGGCAGATCTTGAGTTTGAGATCAACCTAGGAGTGAGTTCCAGGCCAGCAAGTGCTGCCTAATGCAACCCCGTCTCAAGAAAAAGATTTATGAAGAAAAAGACAAGAAGGCAAGTGACATTTGGGATGGGCCGTGAAGAAGACTGGATTTGGATATTTAGAAAGAGAGCAAAGTCGCAGACCGAATGGACATGGGAAAGAGTAATGCGAAGCACCTAGTCTGGCAGAGATCAATACAAATGGAAGTTCAGCCTTGGGCTGGTAGTGTTGCTCAGTGGTGTGGCACTTGCCAAGCCGTATGAGGTTGTGGGTAATTCCTAGGACTGAAAAAGAAAAAAAAACACCTCACATTTTTTCAAAGGAAAGTGTGTCTGGGATACAAGTGCACTGTTAAGACTGACAGCACAAAGACAGGGACACACAAAAGTAAATCCCAGCATTTGGGAGGCCGAGGCAGAGGATTGTGAGTTGGAGGCCAGCTTGGGCTACACAGCATGACTCTGCCTCAAAAAAAGAAAGAAAAAAATAAATAAAAAGACCAGAAAGACTGTGTGATAGTTCCTTTGGCTAAATCTCAGAAATTTTGGTGCACAGATGCTATTTTAGGAGAACTTTGGTGGTGGCTACAGCCACAGCTGCAGCTTTTATTTGATCAGCCAATGTCTCCTAGCAGTGTGAAGATGCCTGTTAACAGTTAGGTGCAGCCACACCTAGAAACGTGAAGAATTAGCATATCATTCCAGAGGGGGAAAACATCCAAGAAATGTACATTATATCGCGATTATTTGCTTGGATTTTGAAATGCCCAATGCATTACATGCTATGTATAAGTGACAGTATATGTTTTGCACAGAATACATGGATAACTGTTTTCTCATGATTATGGATATAACACTCTGGGGAGGTCTAGGAGTTCCAGTTAAACTTGGAGTGGCTGAGCTAATAACCCCTTAATCCCAGTTTTGCCACTGACAGATATTGTGACCTTCAACAGTTATTCAGTGCCTCTTTCAAATTCCTTAAGTGTAAAAGTGGAATAAGACTTTGAAGTCATCCAAACACTGGTTAGGATGCATTGCATAAGTAGCTGTAAGCCCCATAAGTTCTTCAGAGCAAAGTATAACTTTGCCGTGAAGGGTCGTTAAGCATTGTCTTGCATTCCTGAGCAGAGGTGTAATTAACGGCCAGCCCTGTTATCATCCTATGCATCTTTTATTCTTTGGCTCTATTATTGTCCTGCTTAAACAGACCAGCTCCACTGGATTTTGTTTCCATTCTCCTGGTTATACTTAGACCTAGGTTAAAAAAAACCTTCCATGAATTCTGCTGTTGAGATTTTTTGCAACCAGGTTTCACTTTTAACAGATTTATGCAGTCTGAAGCACCCAGTGAAAGTTCTGCTCATAATGAATCTTAAAGGTGTCAGTTCCATAATTTTCTGTGAAAACTCAATGGCATGCTCTGCCACTGAAGCTTAAAGATAATTTGCTTGAATCTCTCCAACGAAATGAAGCTTTTTAATCAATTATGAACAGAAGCAATGAAATACAGTATAGGGTCTAGAGGGATTTGAGGCACAGTCAGCATCCATCTCCATCAGAGTTGCTAGGCGCTGTGGCAGACAAAGGCACTGATATTTACAATGCCAAGTGATGGCAACACAATGGCGCAGCCCACGCTGGAAACAATTGCATATCTTTTCAGGGATGGCTTGAGTGTCAGAGTCGTCAGTCACGGCTGTCCTTCAGAGTCTTCTAGTTTCTTCCTTGAGTTTAAAGGAAGACAAATACACCCACAGAGGAAGGGTGATTTGCAGGTGGCCTTGCAGGTCGACAATACAGGTCTCTTGATGGGGATAACTTGGTGCCTACAATAGCTGCAAGAGAGGCAGGCACGAAGCTGGGATGTGGTGACTCACACTGGAAATCCAGCACTTGGGAGGCTGAGGTAGGAGGACTACTGTGAGTTCAAAGCCGGCCTGGGCTTCATAGTGAATTCCAGGCCAGCCTGGGCTACAACGTGAGACCCTGTCGAACAAAACAAAGCAAGAAACAGAACAAAACTAAACAAAAACCAAAACAATCCAAGAGCCGGCCAGGCAACCCGTCAGGATTGGGGCCTGGTGGGGGCGAAGCCGGGGAGACAAGGTCGGGCCAGCTGTGGAAAAGGCGCAGCTACCAGCCGACTGGGCTGGACCAGGGGCGGAGCCTAGAACTGGGTGCCATTTGGGCGTGGCCGTTGGGGTGGGGCCAGGCGCCGCTCGCTCCTCCCCCGGGCGGGGCGCAGCCGGCCTGGTGGCCTTCCCGCGGAGCTGAGGAGCTTGCAGCCGCTCTGAGAGGGTGGCGGCTCTTGGATCGGGCTGCGGCTCTGAGGAGAGGGCGGCGGCTCTGAGGAACGGCGGCGGCTCCTGAGAAGCGGGCGGCGGCTGGCTGCACGGGACCCGCCCGCGCGCTCCGTCCCGCGGGGCTCAGCGTTCTCTGAGGCGGCCGTCGGCGGGCGGGAGATGGCGGCGTCGGAGTCCGGGCGGCGTGCGCTGCGCCTGCTCTTCGTGGTGCAGCTGGTCGCTGGTCGCTGGCGGCCAGTCGGGGCGGCGGGCGGCGCGCGGGGAGGTGAGCCGGGGCGGGGCCGCCACGGCGCTGCGGTTCCGCGGCTTTTCTTTCTTCTTGGGGAACTTGGGGAGAGGTTCGGATTAGCCGGGTTCTGTTCGCGGACTTGGAGGCGAGGCGCGGGCCGGGGTGGAGCGGTGTGCTTCCAAACTTTCCCGGGAGGAGACACCGAGTTCAGCAGGACGGCTTCCCGCTAACGGCCGGTGCCCGGGTAGGACTCCCTGCGCCCCACCGCCTCCCGCCTCCCTCCAGGAGATGGGACGCTGCTGTAGGATTGCAGAGCTGGTCGGGTCCCGTTCCTCCCCCGCTCCTTAGGAGCACGGCTTTCTTCTTTCTCTTCTTTTTCTCCAGGGCTGTTTTTTCAAGCTGTTGTGGACTGGAGTACAAACAAAGCTAGTACTTCACCTTTCCAGGCCTTTAGCATGGTTTCGGGTCCGCCCTCTCGGTACCCGGGAGGAAGATGCGACCGTTTCTGGAGCATCCGGTGGTGTGCCCCAGGCTAGAGCGGGAGCGGCTTCTGGAAGCCGGATGCGAGTGGCGGCTCCCTGAATCTGAAGCGCATCCCAGCCTTCTCTAGTCTCTCCCTCCTTAAGGCTTTCAACTGTGACTCCTGATCTTAGGAAGTAGTAAGCTTGAAGACTAGAATTACCCATTACAGGATGCATAGAGCAAATCAGTTAAATCCTTTCAGAGAGAGTTGAACTGTATAGAGAAGAATGTCCTGGATTCAGATTATGGCGCCAGTGTATCATGTCTTAGGACAAACTTCCCTCCGTTCCTTCTTCGAAAAATGAGGATAATACTGCATATTTCTTCCGGTCATTTTCCGGATTAAATAGCGTATATAAAATGTCTGGTGCTGTGTCTGACATTCTAGAAAGCGGTAGTTCTCTGCCCCTTTTGGCGAAGCTGGAAAATGTAATTTTTTGTTGTTTTGTATCCCCATCTGGTCTGGAACTCGTGTAGACCGGGCTGGCCTCAATCTCAGAGACCCTCCTGCCTCTGCCTCCGGAGTGCTGTGATCAAAGGTGTGTACCATGTCACCGGGCTTAAAATGTTTTGCCTGTTTTAAGATGAAGCTTTGCTGCCGAGCCTTCAAGTGGTCTATATAGCTGGCTCTTCTGCGTGGTTTGGGGTTATAACCAGCGTTGATGGTTTTCTTTTCTGCTCCCACTCTGATACATCTTGCTGTATTACATTTGTTTTCTTTGTCCCATGTGGGCTCCTTAAGATCTGTGATTCCTGTATGTGGGGGATGTATGGGTGTTCATGTGGGGGCCAGAGGTGAGCCTAGGGGGCTGTTCCTCAGGAGCCTGGGTGTTTATTTTTTTGAGATAGTCTCTCACCTAGGACCTGGAGCTCACGGATTTGGATACACTAGGGTAGGCTGGCTGACCATCCAACTCCAGGGACCCACCTGTATCTGTTACCCCAGTGTTGGAATTCCAAGGGCAGGCACTACCTTGCTGGGCTTTTTATATGGGTGTTGAGGGTCAAACAGGTCTTCATGCTTGTGCCGCAAGCATTTTTCAACTGAGCCACCCCCCAGCCCCCAAGATCTGTAATTCTTTACTGCTGATTTTTGTGTTCTCAAAACCTAGCTTATTATGGAGCCCAGTAAGTGCTTATAAATAATGAATGGAATAGTAATATCACCCTGGATATTATCTCAGCTGTAAAGAAAGGGCATTAGAGATTCCCCCTTACAGCATGAAAATTCTTAAGTTCTGTGTACTCTAAGTGATTGTCCGAAGGTATGTTACCGAGTGGTGATTTAATTGCACGCTTGTGCCTATATGTTAATATCTTTGTATATGTTAATATACCTTTGTGTCCCATTGCCTTTGAATGCAGGGGGGCTGAAAGAACTGTGCGGACTTCCTGCTAACTGGCTGTGTTTCTTTGCACATATTTAACCTTGCTGATTCCTTATTTCTCCCCCTGGGAGTAGGTGTTTTACAGATCACTGATTCTGTGTTTATATTTTATTATTTTCATATTCGTTCTTGATTCTCATAATAATTCATGGTTTTCTATGAGCCAATTCCCAGACAAAGAGAATTCTGGTCTAGTCAGCCAGCAGCCATACCTATTTGGCTAATAGAAGGTCACAGAGCTGTGGAAAGTGGCCTGGAAGGCAATTTTGCCTGCAATGAAATATAATTTACTGGTACATTAAGATAATATAGGTTTTTTTGAACTGACCTGTGATGAGGACAGTGATTTATAGAAATCAAATAGTCATTAGTCAGGTATAGTTCTTAGCTGTGTGACATTTTAAATGATCAAAACTTAATTTTTAGTGTCTATATTAGCTGAATTCTTCAGTCAAAGGAAAATAGTTCATCAAAAATGAGAGCTCTGAAGGATTTTTCCTTCTCACTTGTAGTAATTTTCATTAACATTTCCAGAAACTAACAGAAATACACTTATAGTAGCTGTTGACCCTACTTTTGTCATCTTTGTGCAAATGCTTAGTTAAATAACTTCATACACTTTATTTTGAAATTAAAAATGATTTTGGCTAGGTATAATAGTATTTACCTGTGTTCCCAGAATTTGGGAGAAAAAGGCAAGAGTTCAAGGCTGCTGGACAGGGTAGCACACACCTTTAATCCCAGCACTCTGGAGGCAGAGGCAGACAGATCTCTTTGAGATTAAGGCCTGGTCTACATAGTGAATTCCAGGCTAGCTGGGGCTATAGGGAGACCCTGTCTTAACCCCCCCACCCCCCAAAAAAGAGTTCAAGTCTAGGCAGAATGGGAGAAAACCTTCACCGGCTATACATCTAACCATCTGACAGAGGATTAATATCTAGATTATATAAAGAACTAAAACAACAAAAGCCACTCCGAAGAACCCATTCAGTAACTGGGCTATTTAAATGAACAGATCATTCTTAAAATATGAAATACACATAGCCAGTACACATACAAAAAATGTTTAACATCCTTAGGCATCATGAAATAGAAATTAAAACTACACTGAGATCCTTTCTCACCCCAGTCAGAATGGCTATCATTAAGAAAACAATAAATGCTTGGAGCTGGAAAGATGCCTCATGGTTACAAGTGCTCGCTGGTCTGCAGAGGACCAAAGTTTTGTTCCCAGCATCTATATCAGGTGGCCCACAACCATCTGTAACTCCAGGTGTGAAAGATCTGATGCCTTCTGACCTCAGTGAATACCTGCACACAAGTGCATGTATATACACACAGACATAAATAAAAAGAAAACAAATGCTATCAAGAAGGGTAGGAGAGCTGGTAGGAGAGCAGGAGTAGCTGCCTGCTACTAGGAATGTAAATTGGTCCAGCCACTATGGAAATCAGTATGGTGATTTCTCATGAAAAATAAAAATAGAACTACCATATTACCCAGATATACCATTCCTGGGTATTTACCTGAAGGACTCTCAGTCAGCATACCACAGAAGTACTTCCACATCCATGTTTATTCCATGACATGATATACTTAAAATGTCTGCATGAAACTCATCACTATGTATAATGACTAGATACTAATGCATTTTAAAGCTAACCTGGACCACATAGACCCTGCCTCATAGAAGGAAAAAAAAATATGTTTTTAGAAAATACAAAATATACTCTTTAGAAAATACAAAATATACCTAGATTGTGAACACCTGGAATTTAGGGTCTTTGTAAAGTTCATGATATATTGCAAATATACCTATTTAAGTTTTTTGTTTTTGTTTTTTTTTTGAAACAGATCTCATATAGCCTATGTTGGCCTCAATTGATGTGTAGTCCAAGGTAATGTTGAATTCTTTATCCTCCTGCCTCCACCTCCCCATTACTGGATTACAGGTATGCTACACCATGCTTGTACCTAAGTTTATGAGAGAAATGTCTCAACAATTAAGAGTGCATACTGCTCTTGCAGAGAACCTGAGTTCAGTTCCCCCCACCCACATTAGGCAGCTCCCAGTCACCTGCAACTCCAGCTTCAGGGGACCCCCACACCTTCTTCTAGACTCTGGGGGCACATGCACTCACATGTACATACCTGCCCCCCCAATATACATAATTAAAAAAAAATACCCACAAAGTAGGATGGGTAGGGAGGTGGGGGTAGATCTGGGAGGAATTGGGGGAGGGAGAAAATGATCAAAATACATTGTATGGAAGTTCTCAAGGAATTAATAAAAATATTTTTAAAAATAGTATGTTGATGGAGCTCTGATATGGTTGTCAGTCAGAATAAAGGTGTCTTTTTAAATCTGTAATTACAAATTAGATCTAGCAATATTTTTAGAAATTAAGCTGAGTTTTTAGTACAGTAATTTCAGCACAGAACTTTTTTCTTCTGATAACATTATTTTTCATTACAGTTGGAATTAAATTCTTTCAGATGACATTTTTGGCTTAGTATTAAATGAACAAATTGACACTGAGAGATGTTAATGTTAGAATAGTTTGAGAAAAAGTTTAGAATTTGTTTAGGAAGTTTCTTTGGAACAACACTGGCATAGTTTATAATAATATGCTGCAAAAGATTATTTCTGATGTTCCTTTTCTATGATACAGTTGTAAACATTCACAATTTAGGGCAACATGGTATTATCGCTCCAACTGCATTTAACTCAGTGACCTCATTTTCTCCTCTTATAAGTAGGATTGTAGACTGTAGCCTTTTACCAGTAAAAATAGGAGATGTGAACACAAATGTTTTGACAACAAGTATAATTACGAAGTTTTGGATTTTTAAGTTTCCTTTTGTGAATTGTCAATGATATGTATAGAATTGGGCAAAATTTTCCTTCTGTGTTGGGTTGGGCTAGAGAAGTCGTTGCTGGTGGGAGGGGAGGGTCCTGGCCATCTAGCATGTTTAGCGTTATCCTTGGCGCTTGTGTTCATGCGATACTCTGGCATCCCGCTGAAAAATGTCTCCAGAGACTTTCAGATGTCCCTGTGGGGCACAGTAGTTCTTCTTCCTGCCCTTTGAGAGCCCTACCTTTGGTTTTCTTGACCAGGGCTTTT